CGAAAAAAAGAAAGTACAAGTACATATCCCATCTTTTGTAATTATAGACTCTTGGAAATTTTGAACATTGAAAAGCTTTACAGTTAATTCTACTTACCATACACCATACTCAGTAAAATGTTTAACGAGTGATTGTTAATTAGGGTTATAATTCCCTTTACCCAGAATATGATGCTTTGATTATTTTCTTTTAATCCTAGGAAGCTCTGCAGAGGATTATTTCAACTCTGGCAAATAAAAATGATGAAATTCAGAACTTTATTGATACACTGAATCATACATTAAAAGGAGTTCAGGTATGAATCCATGAATCCTTTATTAAAGAATTTGTGTAAATATGTCACAATGCATGATTGTTGGGTCAAATCAGAAGTGTATAAATACATTCCGTTAAGTCTAGATTATAAACGCATGGGGAAGGGGACAGGGTTGGAGAGCAGGGTTTTTAAGGTAAAATGCTCTCTTTGCGATCATTGAGAGATACTGTTTGGAAAGATCGTATAGAAGGAAGAAGGAAGACTCTGGAATAGTGCTTGCTAGGAAGTAGTCTAGTGCTCGCCTTTCTTACCCGTTTGATGTTTGGCTTTGTTTTTTAAAAATTAAGAACAAATTGTGTCTTTCTGAAGTACTGGGAAATAAACTATTTCTTTTACAATAAATGATAGAATAAAAATGTTGATGGTAAGAAGCCTAAGTTTAGTACTAGACGTCTGTGAACATAAAAGTACAAACTAAAGTGGCCCGTGAGGAGGGAGAGAGCTATTTGAGGAACTGCTCTCTGGTTGAGCAGGTAATCCGTATTGTAAGAGGTCAGAGGTTGATGGTGAAAGGGGCCTCGGGAAAGGTGCTTTCTCATGAATGTGCCTCAGTGAAATTAAGGGCTACTTCCTTTGTGAGATAAGCCTAGAAGATTCCTAAGACACTTGTAGACAGTGGATCCTTTTAACTGCATAATAAGAAACATGTTTGTTTGATTCTTTGTTGTAACTTAGTAATTGTCTGTTTGTTGGCCTTTCTGGTCTTTATAGTTCCTTTAATTTTCAATTTGCTATAAATGAAGTTATTTGAAATGTTCAGCTGTTTCATTGGAGAATTTGGTGAATCTACCTTCTTTAAATTAGCAAAGTAGTTCTGAAACTCTTGATCTACCAAGAAGAGAATCATTGCATTTGACATCTGGAAAGAGACCTTAAGGTAGTACTTACCTAAACTCCTTATCCATTTGCTAAATTATGAGAACTCTATCTTAGATTCCAAAAAGAAGTAGAGGGAAATTAAGGTATGCTCTTGTCACTGAACATGGGGAATGAGAGGTGGAAGGCAAGAGACATTAAGAATGTGCCAACTGGTGACTGAGAAGAGAGCAGTGAAGGAAAACTGAGGTCCAGGAGTTTAAGTGACTTGTCTAAGGTCACACAGTTACTAAGTAGTTAATAGGGAATTAAGCCTTAGGTCTTCTGCCTTCTAGATGGCATGTTACATTTTTCTTACAGTTTGTTCTTAACACTGTAAATAAGCTAATAAAGTGATTGGCTTTTGGTGAGATTCCAGTGATACCGTGCCTGAATTTTTATAAATATTATGACCAAAAGTTGGGACATACACTATTACAGTGGATTGTACGTGTCAGTTATCTTAGTCCATGCCAGTTTGCTTCTCTTGATTAAATGATTCAACTAAATTGAAAAATACCTTAAGAGAATTTCTTTTGTCCATGATTGTTGCAAAAGTGGATATTGCTCATCTAGGGATTTCACTAATATTTTAAGTTATTTCTTGTTGAAATAACATCTTTCTTAGTGAGGCAGTGGGAACCCTGGGAAGTCAAGAGACTTAAAATACATTATTGATTTTGCTACTAGTCACTGGTTGTATGACTCTGGGCAAGTCACTTAACTTACCTGTATTTTGGTTTATAAAATTTGACAAGAAATTTCAGTCATTAGGTGATTTCTGAGGCTCCTTCCAGCACTAAAATTCAGTATTTGATAAATCTCTTAGGGTCAATAAGGAGTTGCTTAGTCTTTTAAGTTCTGTATATTTTATGTAAATGCTGTGTTTTAGAGAAGGTTGAAGATTTTTAAAATTACACAAAATCAGTCCCATCTTATGTGCCCAGACTGTTCCCAGAGTTACTGAGTCAACATCTCTGCAGTATTTTATTAAAATGCTTCAGTGGTGACTCTGATCCACAACAAAGGTTAAGAGGGTGTAGGCGAAGTTGGCAACCCTCAAACAGCCTTTCACATTTCCTGTGGAAACAGCAGTATGAAAAGTGAAGAGAATATGGGCTAGTCCATAAAGGCCACATAGCTGAAATAGTACTGTTAGCATTAGCAGCTGGCTTCTTAGACTGATCTGTTCTTAAAATCAAACATTAGAATTTGTTTTTTATAATATTACACTAAGGTAGTATATTAGTTTCCTAGGGCTGCCATAACAGACTGATGCCATAAAACAACAGAAATATGTTCTTGCATAGTCTGGAAGCGAGAAGTCCAAAAACAGGATGTTGTCAGGGTCTTTCTCAGAAAACTCCAGGGGATAATCCTCCCTTGTCTTTTCTAGCCTCTGGTAGCCTCAGGCGCTCCTTGGTTAGTGGCAGCATAGCGTCACTCTGCCTCTCTCTTTACATGGCCTCCTCCGCTCTGTGTGTTTGTGTGTCTTCTCTTTGTAAGATCCCAGTTCACACTCAATTAGGGCCTGCTGTACTCCAGTGTGACCGCATGTTAACTATTTAAATCTGCGGGTACTCATATTTCCAAATAAAGTCACATTCAGAGGTATTGAAGGTTAGTTAGAACTTGAATGTATCTTTTTGAGGGACACAGTCAACCCTTAACAGGTAGTTTATAATGAATCTGTTCTCTCCTTTGATAAATATATCCTTCATTTTATTTTTAAAAATATTGCATAGCTCTTCAGTAAAATCATTGTTTTGTTCTGTTTGTTTAACAGGAAAATTCTTCTAACATACTTTCAGAGTTAGATGAAGAATTTGATAGTCTGTACTCTATATTGGATGAGATGAAGGAGAGTATGATTAGCAGTATCAAGCAGGAACAAGCTCGTAAATCCCAAGAGTTACAGGTGAGATCAGATCACTAGTGAAATATGAATATTTTAGTATATTTAATCCTGGTGTTATTGAAAGTAACAATTCATGGATTTCTGTCTGTAAATATACCACAGTCTTGTAGAGAAGTAGTTGTTAATTTTGTTCTGGTCATAGATACCTTTGCGAATCTGAGACATATGGACGACTTCAGATGCTCTCTTTCTCTGTTTCACACAGTGTGTAAACATAGTTCCCAAGAGTCAAATCCCTTTCAAGTCTGTGTGTACTTCCCAGGTTGAGGGTTTGTTGTTTATGGGGGCGGGGAGGGAGGAGATGGTCAGTATTAGTTAAATCATTCAAAGAATATTAATTTAGTCATAAAGTATCTATAAATTTCAATATATGTAATAAATAAGGGACAAACAAGATTGAAGAGGAAAGGAACGCTTGGCATCCTCTGAAGCCCTAATGCATGGACTCATCCTGTGTAGATTTCTGTTCTTTTCTGTTGGCTCTAGGTCCTTCTTCTCAGAATTAGGTGGGAATACGCTTTATGCTTTCATTTGCTTAATCACTAACCTCCCTTTCACCCTCCCCATACTTTACCTAAGCAACTTCTACTGTCCTCCTTTGCCACTAGTCAACATTTCTGTCGGCCCAGCCCCTACCATCTATTTCAGTTCTGCTACCAAAGTGGTGGGAGTCATATCTCTTTTCCTACTTTTTGTTCTT